CAAGGTAAACGGTTCTATCTTACGGTGGGGTGCAGGTGGATCTGCTTGGGGTGTAGATGGATTCACAGACGCTGAAACATGGGGGGGGGGGGGGCGCTCTTGCACCTTGAAGTACAACCCCAATAATTCTTAACGGGTCTGAGCTCCACCCCCAGACAATCTGCAAGTAGGCCCCATCACCGAGTCTCAAGGTTCTCGTTTTATGTACACGTAACATTCGTTATATCCCGTTATATCCCCATCTCACTTTACACATTTTTCGTGATAACACGATTAGAGGTTGGGGCAGTAAGACGTTAGAAAAAATCTATAATTTTAGCCAGCCACCGAACATAACATTTCAATCCCGCACCTGACTTGAAAAAGTATTTGCAAGTTTTGGGGAGCAGGGAAAAAAGGGGGAGGTGCGGTAGAGAAGGGTTATGGAGAGAGATTAACGATGTCCTGAACCATGACATGTACAGGTAACTTCAGGCTTCTGCTCATCAGCATGACATCATACAGCCTCCCCCCACCTCCCCCTCCCAACACCAACAACAAAACCTATCATCCGTCTCACTGTGTCAGGAATTTGTTCTGCATTCAGAGGAGTAGATAGCATAATGCGTTGTGGTTAACAGCTAAGCTACAATATTTACACCTTTCGGCCAAAACACATCTGATTTAATTAAGCCCTCTTAATTGGTTGCCCCTGCAGACATGCTTGTTAACAGACATTCCTTAAATGTTCTGAGAGAGTCTCCCCCTTAAACATTCAATAGTCAATTCTGTGAGAGTCTCCCCCTTAAACATTCAATAGTCAATTCTGTGAGAGTCTCCCCCTTAAACATTCAATAGTCAATTCTGTGAGAGTCTCCCCCTTAAACATTCAATAGTCAATTCTGTGAGAGTCTCCCCCTTAAACATTCAATAGTCAATTCTGTGAGAGACTAGTCTAGGTGACAAGAATATACAGACTAGTCTAGGTGACAAGAATATACAGACTAGTCTAGGTGACAAGAATATACAGACTAGGTGACAAGAATATACAGACTAGTCTAGGTGACAAGAATATACAGACTAGGTGACAAGAATATACAGACTAGTCTAGGTGACAAGAATATACGGACTTCCAGATTATAGGAATATACAGACTAGTGAAGATTATAGGAATATACAGACTAGTGAAGATTATAGGAATATACAGACTAGTGAAGATTATATGAATATACAGACTAGTGAAGATTATATGAATATACAGACTAGTGAAGATTATATGAATATACAGACTAGTCTAGGTGACATGAATAAACAGACTAGTCTAGGTGACAAGAATATACAGACTAGTCTAGGTGACATGAATAAACAGACTAGTCTAGGTGACAAGAATATACAGACTTCCAGATTATAGGAATATACAGACTAGTGAAGATTATAGGAATATACAGACTAGACCAGACTATAGAAATATACAGACTAGACCAGATAATAGGAATATACAAACTAGTCCGGGCGATATGAATATACAGACTAGTACAGATAATAGGAATATACAGACTAGTGAAGATTACAGGAATATACAGACTAGTCTAGATTACAGAAATATACAGACTAGTACAGATTACAGGAATATAAAGACTAGTACAGATTACAGGAATATACAGACTAGTGAAGATTACAGGAATATACAGACTAGTACAGATTACAGGAATATACAGACTAGTACAGATTACAGGAATATACAGACTAGTACAGATTACAGGAATATACAGACTAGTGAAGATTACAGGAATATACTGACTAGTGAAGATTACAGGAATATACAGACTAGTACAGAATACAGGAATATACAGACTAGTACAGATTACAGGAATATACAGACTAGTACAGATTACAGGAATATACAGACTAGTCCAGATTACAGAAATATACAGACTAGTCTAGATTACAGAAATATACAGACTAGTCTAGATTACAGGAATATACAGACTAGTCTAGGTGACATGAATATACAGACTAGCCTGTAAGAAAGGTAATAGGAGAGATACAGATAGCATACAGAGGTAGATCATTACTGAGTCATGTAGGAAAAACGTACGCCAAATTACTAGAACAGAGAGATAACCCACAGCTGAACAACAGTCGAGTGCATCACAATTCGGTTTCAGAAAAGGCAGAGGATGCACAGATGCATTATTCACTCTGAGGCAAGTGTGTGAGAAAGCCATTGAGTATAATACCTAACAGAATATTGTGTTTATAGATCAGGAAAAGGCTTTTGTTAGAGTGGAAAGAAACAAACTGTGGTCTGTTCTTGAGAACTATAGCGTACAAGGACAGTTACTAGAGAACATCATAGCCATGTACCACACAAGCAATAAGAACACAAAAAGGCATATCAGATATGTACACAGTCAACCCAAGTGTGAGACAAGGATGTGTGCTCTCCCAACTTTTACTGCAAGACCACATTAACAGGTTAAACTCAGCATGCAGTAAATACAACATGAAGATCAATGCAAACAAAATTACAACAATGCAAGTTAGTAGAACATCTGCTCCACTACACATACAGCTGAATGGTTCTGCCCTGAATCAAGTTAGGAAGTTTAAATATTTTGGAAGTATGATCACAGAAGATGGTGGAATTGACAGAGAAATAAAACCAGATGTCAGAAAGCAAGTGCACTTATATACCAATTGTCACCATTATTAAGACATCCAAGCATAACTATGAGTGCAAAGAGATTATTAATAGCATATTCATTTCAACATTAAGCTACCAGTGCCAAACATGGGCACTATCTAAAGCCCATATACGCAACAAAATCACCACCTGCGAGATGAGATGACTGAGAAAAGCAGCCAACCTCACCATCCGAGACAGAGTGAATAATAATGATACTATCAGGCAAATTGTGGGAACGACATCTTGTACTAGATTCATTGAGAAACAGCAGATCAAGTGGTTTGGCCATCTCGTTAGAATGCAGCAAGATCAAATACCATCACAAGCACTACATCTCAGAAGATCCGCAACAAGAGCAAGAGGACGCCGCGGAAATATGGATCAACAACATTAAAGACACTTTACGCCTTCATGGCATAACAATAGCCAGTGGCAGCCAAAGTGCACTGGATCACAAATTATTTCTGCCCACGACGCTTAACAGCAGAAGTGGTTTATGAGGATGATGATGACAGACTAGTCAAGATTACAGGAACATACAGGCTGTCACCATATGTGAACCATTCCTGCGTGGTAACACATCATATACTCAATGTGTGAGTGAACCATTCCTGTGTGGTAACACATCATATACTCAATGTGTGAGTGAACCATTCCTGTGTGGTAACACATCATATACTTAATGTGTGAGTGAACCATTCCTGTGTGGTAACACATCATATACTCAATGTGTGAGTGAACCATTCCTGTGTGGTAACACATCATATACTTAATATGTGAGTGAACCATTCCTGCGTGGAAACACATCATATACTTAATGTGTGAGTGAACGATTCCTGCATCTTAACACATCATATACTCAATGTGTGAGTGAACCATTCCTGCATGGTAACACATCATATACTCAATGTGTGAGTGAACCATTCCTGTGTGGTAACACATCATATACTCAATGTGTGAGTGAACCATTCCTGCGTGGTAACACATCATATACTCAATGTGTGAGTGAACCATTCCTGTGTGGTAACACATCATATACTTAATGTGTGAGTGAACCATTCCTGCGGAAACACATCATATACTTAATGTGTGAGTGAACGATTCCTGCATCTTAACACATCATATACTCAATGTGTGAGTGAACCATTCCTGCGTGGTAACACATCATATACTCAATGTGTGAGTAAACCGTTCCTGCGTGGTAACACATCATATACTCAATGTGTGAGTGAACCATTCCTGCGTTGTAACACATCATATACTGAATGTGTGAGTAAACAATTCCTGCGTGGTAACACATCATATACTCAATGTGTGAATGAACCATTCCTGCGTGGTAACACATCATATACTCAATGTGTGAGTGAACCATTCCTGCGTGGAAACACATCATATACTTAATGTGTGAGTGAACGATTCCTGCATGGTAACACATCATATACTCAATGTGTGAGTGAACCATTCCTGTGTGGTAACACATCATATACTCAATGTGTGAGTGAAACCATTACTGCGTGGTAACACATCATATACTCAATGTGTGAGTGAACCATTCCTGCGTGGAAACACATCATATACTTAATGTGTGAGTGAACGATTCCTGCATGGTAACACATCATATACTCAATGTGTGAGTGAACCATTCCTGTGTGGTAACACATCATATACTCAATGTGTGAGTGAACCATTCCTGCGTGGTAACACATCATATACTCAATGTGTGAGTGAACCATTCCTGCATGGTAACACATCATATACTCAATGTGTGAGTTGCACCTAAGAAGAACAACCACGTGGAGCCCAACACTTGGTCTGATTAGACAGTTTGTGTTGGACTGTTGGAACGAGAGGGTGTGTGTGTGTGTGATCCAGTGTGAATGGGAAGAATTCTTGTCAACGTGAAACTGATCACTTCAATACGACAACTCGACTACAAGATTCATCAAAGTGAAGTCCACCAACTCAGTTGCGGGAAACCACAAATGCAATGACCCGAGTCATCCATGTTGAAGTGAAGACGGACAACTCCAGAGTGTGAATGCGTCACAATTCAATGTATTGGTGTCTGAAGGATGTGGTGCTCGAATGCTGTGCTTGTTGAGTAGGACACGGACTCGACATATTGTGTAAGTGCTCAAATGTTAATAAACAGTTATGTATCGTAGAGATGGTATCTACTCATAACATGTTTCATTGTAGAGTGTCAGTCTAATCAACAATTAGAGTCCACCCCCTAGAAAACAGCCAAGGACCGAGCAGATAATATTGCAATAACTGAAACAATGAGAATTACAGACTCTATCACTCAGAAATCAACAAACAATCAGCCTACCTAAAGCAGCATCATCAAGTTCCTGCTTGGAGTAAACTACTTGGTTGCCTGTGATGGCACAAGTGTGGAACTGGCACTGCCAGATGACCTCTTTCTGACCGGACCTGGCACTCTTGTGGTAGCACTTGACCAGTATGTCTCCACGAAGGGGGATTCCCGGTGTAATGGAGATGCACACCTTCTGCATGTTGTCTGTGACATTGCTGTAAACAGACCAGACAATCACCAGTTGATCACCATGGATAAAGCCAGTTTTCTTCCATTAGCTAATCTTCTTCCATTAACCTATATACTTCTATTAACCAGTATTCTTCCATTAACCAGTTTACTTCCATTAATCAGTTATCTTTCATTAACCATTTATCTTCCATTAACAAATTTACTTCCATTAACCGGTTTACTTCCATTAACCAGTCTGCTTCTGTCAACCAGTTTACTTCTATCAACCAGTTTACCTCCAATTACCAGTTCACGGGCGCGAAAATACCAAACACTGGGGAAATGGCAAAGAATAGAGTCACTCTCTGATTGGCTGTGACAGAACAGAGTCACTCTCTGATTGGCTGTGACAGAACAGAGTCACTCTTTGATGGGCTGTGACAGAACAGAATCACTCTCTGATAGGCTGTGACAGAACAGAATCACTCTCTGATTGGCTGTGACAGAACAGAGTCACTCTCTGATGGGCTGTGACAGAACAGAGTCACTCTCTGATGCGCTGTGACAGAACAGAGTCACTCTCTGATGGGTTGTGACAGAACAGAGTCACTCTCCAATAGGCTGTGACAGAACAGTCACTCTCCAATGGGCTGTGACAGAACAGAGTCACTCTCTGATGGGCTGTGACAGAACAGAGTCACTCTCTGATGGGCTGTGACAGAACAGAGTCACTCTCAAATGGGCTTTGACGGAACAGAATCACTCTCCCATGGGCTGTGACAGAACAGAGTTACTCTCTGATGGGCTGTGACACAACAGAGTCACTCTCCGATGGGCTGTGACAGAACAGAGTCACTCTCTGATGGGCTGCGACAGAACAGAGTCACTCTCCGATGGGCTGTGACTGAACAGAGTCACTCTCTGAAGGGCTGTGACAGAACAGAGTCACTCTCTGATGGGCTGTGACAGAACAGAGTCACTCTCTGATGGGCTGTGACAGAACAGAGTCACTCTCTGATGGGCTGTGACAGAACAGAGTCACTCTTGGGCTGTGACAGAATAGAGTCACTCTCCGATGGGCTGTGACAGAACAGAGTCACTCTCCGATGGGCTGTGACAGAATAAAGTCACTCTCTGATAGGCTGTGACAGAATAGAGCCACTCTCTGATAGGCTGTGACAGAAGTCACATTCTCCAAAGGACCTATGATAATGTGAGACAAAATATATGCTGCTGAGGTTAACTATGATAGGAAATCAGAGATATAAATGAAGGCAAAGAATGTGTCAACATGACGTTAAAAGAAAAAATAACTTCTGAAACAAAAACATTTTCTAACAAGTAGATAGGTGAAGCTGCACAGGTACATATATTTATCAACCATATGATAATATTTACGCATGCAAGTGCACATACAACACATATAGACTTACTAGACTCCAGAAGTGAAGATTGGCTGCATACTCTGGTAGACCTTGATGAAAGGACAACAGCCTCCTCTGCCATCAAAGTCTGGTACCCCATGGATGAGGATGTGATGGAGGTACAGTGGCTGGCTGTTGATTTTGATAGCTCCTGACAGAAGACCAGAGAAGTAGGCCACATACCTAGACACATAAAACACATGATCTCAGTTACAAAACACATAAAACACATTATCTCAGTCACAAAACACATAAAACACATTATCTCAGTCACAAAACACGTAAAACACGATGATCTCAGTTACAAAACACATAAAACACAATGATCTCAGTTACAAAACACATAAAACACGATGATCTCAGTTACAAAACACATAAAACACAATGATCTCAGTCACAAAACACATAAAACACATTATCTCAGTCACAAAACACATAAAACACATTATCTCAGTCACAAAACACGTAAAACACGATGATCTCAGTTACAAAACACATAAAACACAATGATCTCAGTTACAAAACACATAAAACACGATGATCTCAGTTACAAAACACATAAAACACAATGATCTCAGTTACAAAACACATAAAACACATTATCTCAGTCACAAAACACGTAAAACACAATGATCTCAGTTACAAAACACGTAAAACACAATGATCTCAGTTACAAAACACACTTGTCACACACGTAAAACAGTGGTTATGTCAGGGACACATTGTTTAGTTCACGATTGCAGATTTTACAGAGAACCCTTGGAATTGCCACTACAGCTACAGAGTCTGTGCTTTGTGTGACACTCTCGTCAGGTGGCTAGCCATACTGCAGAGAGAGACAGCTATATGTGAAAACCCGGTGCAACAAAGTTGATCCTTTCAACTTTAACATATAAAACACAGTGCCACACACATCAAACACAGCTAGCACACACATGGAACAGAATGCCATCACATTTACAACAAGCTATGATAACATAAAAACTACACCAATCAAGACAGAACCAGCAGCAGAACAAACTACAGCATGTCAATCCTGCCAGGCAATTATACCTGGGACGGACATGAGAGTACATCAGAGGTGTCATAGGTGTGGCCATTACAGGTGTTATGAACATTGTCTGTGAACACCTCCCAGCTTGGATGTCTTTAAGAACATTGTGTGTGAACACCTCCCAGCTTGGATGTCTTCTTGAACATTGTGTGTGAACATCTCCCAGCTTGGATGTCTTCTTGAAAATTGTGTGTGAACATCTCCCAGCTGGGATGTCCTCATAAACATTGTGTGTGAACATCTCCCAGCTGGGATGTCCTCATAAACATTGTGTGTGAACATCTCCCAGCTGGGATGTCCTCAAGAATGTTGAGTGTGAACATCTCCCAGCTTGGATGTCCTCAAGAATGTTGAGTGTGAACATCTCCCAGTTTGGAACCTCCAGCTTTTTCCCAGATCTTGGTCATCTTGAGCTGGATTCACATTTCCCACTGACCAATGTCCACTTCATGGGTGATGTGAACAACATCTCATAGCTGCCTTTACTTCCTATAAATTTTCCTGATACCAATTTTTGGCTGCTCTGACTTGGTTGCCCAGTTCCCTGCTACGATAAGGATATGAACAAATGTGTTGGGCTGAAAGCATGCAAAGATCACAGCCTAACTGTCAACCACAACACAATGTGCCTACCATCCTTTCAAGGGCAAACATGAAAGACTAACGACCACTAGATCAGCTGCTGAGTGTGTCAGTAATGATGATCTATACGTGTGCATTCTTACTTTCATGTCGACTTTGGTTTTTAGAAGCTCTTTTGTTTTTTTGTTCGTTGAGTTTTCCAGGCACAATTTGTGTTATTTAGCCATTATCATTATTATCATAAACCACTTCTGCAGTTAAGTGTTGTGGGGAGGGATAATTTGTGATCCAATGCACGCTGGCTGTCACTGGCTACTGCCATGCCATGAAAATGCAGAGTGTCTTTAATGTTGCCAATCCATCTTTTTTGCAACCGTCCTCATGATCTTGAAGCTGAACTTCTGAGGTGTAGTACCTGTGATGGTATTTGATCTTGCTGCATTCTAGCAAGATGGCAAAACCACTTGATCTGCTGCTTCTCGATAAATCTAGTACAAGGTGTCGTTCCCACAATTTGTCCAAAAGTATCATTATTCACTCGATCTCTGATAGTTAGGCTGGCGGCTTTTCTCAGGCATATCATCTCATAGGTGGTGATTCTGCATACATGGGTTTTAGATAGTGTCCATGTTTGGCGCTGGTAGCTTAATGTTGGAATTAATTTGCAGTTTATAATCTGTCTCTTTGCGCTATAGTTATGTTTGGATGTTTGAGTTATTTATTACTCTGCTGAAATAGACTTTGGTCAAAACATTCAGTTGTATTTATGCTCCATCTTTCCATTCCCTCCTGACAGCTTTCTAGTCACATGTTATTTTGTATTCAACACGAGTCTATCAGAGATTTTAGCTATTGTTCTCCCTTCTGTTGTTTCCAGGGATTTTGTGATTTTGTCATGGTCCTTCTGTCAGCACACAAACATCTCACATGTGAATGTGTCTGTTGTCAGTGTTCTATTTACAGAAGAACAGTGGAAGTTTTGTTTCTATTCTATTTATTAAACATCGGTTAGCAAGTGTCTAATTTCTATTCTATTTATTGAGCATCAGTCTGCAAGTGTCTAATTTCTATTCTATTTATTGAGCATCAGTCTGCAAGTGTCTAATTTCTATTCTATTTATTGAGCATCAGTCTGCAAGTGTCTAATTTCTATTCTATTTATTGAGCATCAGTCTGCAAGTGTCTTATTTCTATTCTATTTATTGAGCATCAGTCTGCAAGTGTCTTATTTCTATTCTTTTTATTGAGCATCAGTCTGCAAGTGTCTTATTTCTATTCTTTTTATTGAGCATCAGTCTGCAAGTGTCTAATTTCTATTCTTTTTATTTAGCATCAGTCTGCAAGTGTCTTATTTCTATTCTTTTTATTTAGCATCAGTCTGCAAGTGTCTAATTTCTATTCTTTTTATTTAGCATCAGTCTGCAAGTGTCTTATTTCTATTCTTTTTATTTAGCATCAGTCTGCAAGTGTCTAATTTCTATTCTTTTTATTTAGCATCAGTCTGCAAGTGTCTTATTTCTATTCTTTTTATTGAGCATCAGTCTGCAAGTGTCTAATTTCTATTCTTTTTATTTAGCATCAGTCTGCAAGTGTCTAATTTCTATTCTTTTTATTTAGCATCAGTCTGCAAGTGTCTTATTTCTATTCTTTTTATTGAGCATCAGTCTGCAAGTGTCTAATTTCTATTCTTTTTATTTAGCATCAGTCTGCAAGTGTCTAATTTCTATTCTTTTTATTTAGCATCAGTCTGCAAGTGTCTTATTTCTATTCTTTTTATTGAGCATCAGTCTGCAAGTGTCTAATTTCTATTCTTTTTATTTAGCATCAGTCTGCAAGTGTCTTATTTCTATTCTTTTTATTTAGCATCAGTCTGCAAGTGTCTAATTTCTATTCTTTTTATTTAGCATCAGTCTGCAAGTGTCTAATTTCTATTCTTTTTATTTAGCATCAGTCTGCAAGTGTCTTATTTCTATTCTTTTTATTTAGCATCAGTCTGCAAGTGTCTTATTTCTATTCTTTTTATTTAGCATCAGTCTGCAAGTGTCTAATTTCTATTCTTTTTATTTAGCATCAGTCTGCAAGTGTCTAATTTCTATTCTTTTTATTTAGCATCAGTCTGCAAGTGTCTAATTTCTATTCTTTTTATTTAGCATCAGTCTGCAAGTGTCTTATTTCTATTCTTTTTATTTAGCATCAGTCTGCAAGTGTCTAATTTCTATTCTTTTTATTTAGCATCAGTCTGCAAGTGTCTTATTTCTATTCTTTTTATTGAGCATCAGTCTGCAAGTGTCTAATTTCTATTCTTTTTATTTAGCATCAGTCTGCAAGTGTCTAATTTCTATTCTTTTTATTTAGCATCAGTCTGCAAGTGTCTTATTTCTATTCTTTTTATTGAGCATCAGTCTGCAAGTGTCTAATTTCTATTCTTTTTATTTAGCATCAGTCTGCAAGTGTCTAATTTCTATTCTTTTTATTTAGCATCAGTCTGCAAGTGTCTTATTTCTATTCTTTTTATTGAGCATCAGTCTGCAAGTGTCTAATTTCTATTCTTTTTATTTAGCATCAGTCTGCAAGTGTCTAATTTCTATTCTTTTTATTTAGCATCAGTCTGCAAGTGTCTAATTTCTATTCTTTTTATTTAGCATCAGTCTGCAAGTGTCTAATTTCTATTCTTTTTATTTAGCATCAGTCTGCAAGTGTCTTATTTCTATTCTTTTTATTTAGCATCAGTCTGCAAGTGTCTTATTTCTATTCTTTTTATTTAGCATCAGTCTGCAAGTGTCTAATTTCTATTCTTTTTATTTAGCATCAGTCTGCAAGTGTCTAATTTCTATTCTTTTTATTTAGCATCAGTCTGCAAGTGTCTTATTTCTATTCTTTTTATTTAGCATCAGTCTGCAAGTGTCTAATTTCTATTCTTTTTATTTAGCATCAGTCTGCAAGTGTCTAATTTCTATTCTTTTTATTTAGCATCAGTCTGCAAGTGTCTTATTTCTATTCTTTTTATAGAGAATCAGTCTGCAAGTGTCTAATTTCTATTCTTTTTATTTAGCATCAGTCTGCAAGTGTCTTATTTCTATTCTTTTTATTTAGCATCAGTCTGCAAGTGTCTTATTTCTATTCTTTTTATTTAGCATCAGTCTGCAAGTGTCTAATTTCTATTCTTTTTATTTAGCATCAGTCTGCAAGTGTCTAATTTCTATTCTTTTTATTTAGCATCAGTCTGCAAGTGTCTTATTTCTATTCTTTTTATTTAGCATCAGTCTGCAAGTGTCTTATTTCTATTCTTTTTATTTAGCATCAGTCTGCAAGTGTCTTATTTCTATTCTTTTTATTTAGCATCAGTCTGCAAGTGTCTAATTTCTATTCTTTTTATTGAGCATCAGTCTGCAAGTGTCTAATTTCTATTCTTTTTATTTAGCATCAGTCTGCAAGTGTCTTATTTCTATTCTATTTATTTAGCATCAGTCTGCAAGTGTCTAATTTCTATTCTTTTTATAGAGAATCAGTCTGCAAGTATCTTATTTCTATTCTATTTATAGAGAATCAGTCTGCAAGTATCTTATTTCTATTCTTTTTATTTAGCATCAGTCTGCAAGTATCTTATTTCTATTCTATTTATTTAGCATCAGTCTGCAAGTGTCTAATTTCTATTCTTTTTATTTAGCATCAGTCTGCAAGTGTCTAATTTCTATTCTTTTTATTTAGCATCAGTCTGCAAGTGTCTTATTTCTATTCTATTTATTTAGCATCAGTCTGCAAGTGTCTAATTTCTATTCTATTTATAGAGAATCAGTCTGCAAGTATCTTATTTCTATTCTATTTATAGAGAATCAGTCTGCAAGTATCTTATTTCTATTCTATTTATAGAGAATCAGTCTGCAAGTATCTTATTTCTATTCTATTTATAGAGAATCAGTCTGCAAGTATCTTATTTCTATTCTATTTATAGAGAATCAGTCTGCAAGTATCTTATTTCTATTCTATTTATAGAGAATCAGTCTGCAAATGTCCTATTTCTATTCTTTTTATTGAGCATCAGTCTGCAAATGTCCTATTTCTGTTCTATTTTTAGAACATTAGTCTGCAAGTGTCATTTCTATTTTATTTATAGAGCATCAGTTGTGTGTACTCCATTTACAGTACATCAATGTGGAAGTGCAATATGTACACTGTTTTTATTGCACACATGTAGGTCAGATAATGAGGTACACAAAGGAAAACAATACTGCTGCAACCACACAACAGCACTGCTCACATGTGGCTGACTCATATCACATGCGCTGACTCATATCACATGTGGCTGACTCATATCACATGCACTGACTCATATCACATGTGGCTGACTCATATCACATGTGGCTGACTCATATCACATGTGCTGACTCATATCACATGAGCTGACTCATATCACATGTGGCTGAATTATATCACGTGCGGCTGACTCATATCACATGCGCTGACTCATATCACATGTGACTGACTCATATCACATGTGCTGACTCATATCACATGTGCTGACTCATATCACATGTAGCTGACTCATATCACATGTGGCTGACTCATATCACATGTGCTGACTCATATCACACACGCTGACTCATATAACATGTGGCTGACTCATATCACATGTGCTGACTCACATCACATGTGGCTGACTCATATCACATGTGCTGACTCATATCACGCATGGCTGACTCATATCACATGTGGCGGAATCTTTTCACATGTGGCTGACCCATATCACATGCAGCTGACTCATATCACATGTGGCTGACCCATATCACATGCAGCTAACTCATATCACATGTGGCTGACTTATATCACATGTGGCTGACTCATATCACATGCAGCTGACTTATATCACATGTAGCTGAATCATATCACATGTGGCTGACTCATTTCAACATGCAGCTGACTCATATCACATGTGGCTGACTCATATCACATGTGGCTGACTCATATCACATGCGCTGACTCATATCACATGCAGCTGGCTCATATCACATGTGGCTGAATCATATCACATGTGGCTGACTCATATCACATGTGGCTGACTTATATCACATGCGGCTGACTCTTGCCTGACTTGAAGAGCTAATGGCAGCAAGAAAGAGAACTAGCCAGAATACCTCATAAGGAAATGAACTAGTTAATGTTTAACCTTAGCAGACATCCTGACGTGGATTCCACAAGCTGGAGTCAATGATGAAGTTACGGAAATCTTACCTCTGTTGTGAAGGCAGGGGCAGACCAACCAGTTTGTCATCATAATATTTCTTCATGGTGAGGCTGTCCACAGCTTGGCCAGCGCTGGAACAAACCATGTTCACACTTTACAGCACTGACACAAACCAGTTACACATTTTACAGCACTGACACAAACCAGTTACACACTTTACAGCACTGATGCAAACCATGTACAAACTTTACAGCACTGACACAAACCAGTTACACACTTTACAGCACTGACACAAACCAGTTACACACTTTACAACACTGATGCAAACCATGTACAAACTTTACAGCACTGACACAAACCAGTTACACACTTTACAACACTGATGCAAACCATGTACAAACTTTACAGCACTGACACAAACCAGTTACACACTTTACAGCACTGATGCAAACCATGTAAACACTTTATAGCACTGACACAAACTATGTACGCACTTTACAGCACTGATGCAAACCATGTACACAGATTTCAGCACTGACATAAACCATGTACACAGTTTACAGCACTATGCAAACCATGTACACATTTTACAGCACTTACACAAACCATGTACACACTACAGCACTGATGCAAACAAGGTACACATTTTCAGCACTGACACAAACCATGTACACACTTTACAGCACTGACACAAACCACATACACACTTTACAGCACTGATGCAAAGCATGTACACACTTTATAGCACTGACACAAACCACATACACACTTTACAGCACTGATGCAAAGCATGTACACACTTTATAGCACTGACACAAACCATGTACGCACTTTACAGCACTGACACAAACCATGTACGCACTTTACAGCACTGATGCAAAGCATGTACACACATTTCAGCACTAATATAAACCATGTACACACTTTACAGCACTGATGCAAACCATGTACACATTTTACAGCACTGACACAAACCATGTACACATTTTACAGCACTGACACAAACCATGTACGCACTTTACAGCACTGACACAAACCATGTACACACTTTACAGCACTGACACAAACCATGTACACACTTTACAGCACTGACACAAACCATGTACACATTTTACAGCACTGACACAAACCATGTACACATTTTACAGCACTGACACAAACCATGTACGCACTTTACAGCACTGACACAAACCATGTACACACTTTACAGCACTGACACAAACAGTGTACAGCAATGAAACAGTGCAAACATGTTAAGTCACCAATATCAACCATGTACACACTTCCTAACAAGCATATCATAAAGAGTCGAGTCGACTGACTACGGGTTTCCTCTAGAGCTAGAGTGCGTCTGCCTGAGAAGCAAAGAATCAGGTTCTGGAACGAGGCGAGATCCAGAAGGAACCAACAACCAGAACTTTCCACCGGAGTGGACAGCCAGGGAAATTTAAAAAAGAACAGTATAAGAGTTCATGCCCTTGCTACTGCCATGTAATGTGTTTCTATTTTGCCCAAGAAAAATCATTTGTGAGTTAGGGGCTGTGAACATAGTTTTATAATCCTAACATATCTGGGTTTAATTAAAATCAGCTGCTTGTGAATTGTTAGCAGATTGTTTTTCACTTATGTCAAAAATGGTGTGGGGTTTGTAATGTTGAGAAAGAGATGGCGAACTACTGAATGTAAAACTGCATCATATGTCTACAAGTAGGCAACAAATGTTAGGACTTGTTTAGAACAGTCTGTCAAAGATATGTGACCAACTGATGACAGATCAACATTTCTGCTTTGCTGGGATTCAAGTATTTTCTTCAAAATTTTACAAATTGGAAATCTAAAAGTCCAGCTGTCCTCTTCTATTTGACTGTGGCATACACTTGGGGAAAACAAATCTGCGTTGAATGCTTGTATCAGCTGGGAAACACAGAAAAGAAGTTTCTATAAATATCAATGTCTCGTTACAGGCACACAGGATCAGAACTTGATGACAGGAGTAAGCCATCACATGGTGGCAAGACAACAGTATGGTATTTAATATGAACCACAGCAGGCATACCCGGCACATATTTCATGCAGGCATTGAGATATCCCACAACCTGCCACAGCAGGCACACCAGGCGCATATTTCCTGTAGGCACTGAGGGTATCACATAACCTGTCACAGCAGGCATACCAGGCACATATTTCATGTAGGCACTGAGATATCACACAACCTCCCACAGCGACATGGTTCAGCCATGGGTGAGGACTTGTCAGGTGTTTCACGACTGTAGGATAGTGCACAAATATGGGCACAGAATAAACAATATGGCAGCCAAATTCAAAGCTTTCAGGATGTGTGTTTAAAAATAATTATCACAGCAGGAGAAGAAAACAAACAACTGGCGTGAAGAAAAGATGACTGGTTGAGGCCAAGGGCAGACAACCATGGTACTATGGTCATATAAAGTGACACAACCTTTGGGAAAGGAAATGCCACAGGGAAAGCTGGAGGGACAGCCTGGAAGACAATGTCACAGTTGGGTGGATATCTTGAGAACATGGATGAGGAGAAGCCTCTCTATGTGTGAGTGTATCAGGAAAATACAAGACAGACATTGGTGACCCTGATGTTTCTTTACCATGTGTACATGAATAACAGAACTAACATTCTGAGGAGGTGCCATCAATACAGGGGAGGTTGGTCACTGTAGATATGAGCATGGCTCATGAGGATTAGGGGTATCACTACATATAATTTTCCCTAGGGGTATCACCACATATAATTTCCTCATATGAGGAAATTATATGTGGTGATACCCCTAGGGAAAATTATATGTAGTGATACCCCTAATCTTTTCCACAGCCAACATTGTGAAATCACATTGTTATTAACTTACACATTTCAAGACAATGACAAAATAAAAGGCAGCAATATTTTAAGTAACAGAATCATCTGTGTGGTCTGAAGCATGATAATCAAAGACAGAGGTGGCAGCAGGATGTAGCTTGTAGCAAACACACTGCAGATTTGTGGCTCTGAATAAGAGGACGTGGAACAGATTCAACTTCTTACCTGGCACAGATATTATTATAATGCATATATGCAGCGACCACACTGGCAAGTCTGCTGCGGCCACCTTTACAATGGAGAACCACAATGTGTCTGATGTCACTGCTCAACCAGGTGTCAATAGCTTTACAGATCAAACACAGCCGTTCTAATGGTGGGGCCAGGTGGTCTGGCCAGCCAAATTCTTTCACCTGGAAATGATAACAACATTGTGAATTAAAAAAAAAAATACAAAGTTGATTGTCAGTATTGCTTTAGAAAGCATGGAAATGATTCAATTTGTGATAGAAACCCAGAGAATGATGAATCTGGCCAGCCAAATTCTTTCACCTGGGAATGATAACAACATTGTGAATTGTAACTAAATAGCACCTCACACAAAAAAGCTATCAGAAATAAATGAGCTACCAGGCTGCCCACTACATCTGCAGAAGGAAAACAAATTCAATTATTGAGACATCCTGAAAGAAAGAAATCAAGTCAACTACCACTGAGTGCCTGAAACAGGAGAATCTCTGGCTACAGATCTAGAGGAAAACAAAGTGATTCTATCAAGACTATATCATACAAACACACATGTAAATCAATCCTGGACTATCCCCAAGCTGGCAATGGCACCAAATCTTACTGTCCATACAGGGACACATAACAGTAGTTAAGGACAGACAGACAAAGGATTACTGCACATATGTAGAGGAGTCAGACAAACAGACAAAGGATTACTGCACAGATGTAGAGGAGTCAGACAGACAGACATAAGATTACTGCACAGATGTACAGCAATCAAAGGGGTACAACTGGTGTACTGGCATATTAGTTCAGTGGTTTCAGATGTCAGTGGGACACAGTGAGGTAGTTCAGGTATAATAAATTATGTTGAGGGTGTGTCCACTTCCAATTCTGTACCGATTCAAGCAATGCATGATTCTTATGATAGTTTCACGAATATTTTCTGTATTTCCAACAATGACTAACTTGCTCCAATGTCTTTAGAGCAGCTGCAGAGGACTCTCATACATATAATACAGGATAGTCAAGAATAGAGAACTCCATCATCAATAACAAGAACTGAGTCAGGACATATCTAAAACATAAACTAAAACAAAAATGTAACCTCAAATTGCCAGCCTAACTGGAAAGAAGCAAACTTAAATTCACCCATAAAACTGTTGTAAAGACCAGAGTTGTGAAGACCAGAGTTGTAAAGACCAGAGTTGTAAAGACCAGAGTTGTGAAGACCAGAGTTGTAAAGACCAGAGTTGTGAAGACCAGAGTTGTGAAGACCAGAGTTGTGAAGGCCAGAGTTGTGAAGACCAGAGTTGTGAAGACCAGAGTTGTGAAGACCAGAGTTGTGAAGACCAGAGTTGTGAAGACCAGAGTTGTGATGTACACAGTTGTGATGTACAAAGTTGTGATGACCAGAGTTGTGAAGACCAGAGTTGTGAAGACCAGAGTTGTGAAGACCAGAGTTGTGATGACCAGAGTTGTGAAGACCAGAGTTGTGAAGACCAGAGTTGTGAAGACCAGAGTTGTGAAGACCAGAGTTGTGATGTACACAGTTGTGATGTACAGAGTTGTGAAGGCCAGAGTTGTGAAGACCAGAGTTGTGAAGACCAGAGTTGTGAAGACCAGAGTTGTGAAGACCAGAGTTGTGAAGACCAGAGTTGTGATGTACACAGTTGTGATGTACAGAGTTGTGATGACCAGAGTTGTTACGGACCTTCTTTAATGACCAGAGTTGTTACGGACCTTCTTTAATGACCAGAGTTGTTACGGACCTTCTTTAATGACCAGAGTTGTTACGGACCTTCTTTAATGACCAGAGTTGTTACGGACCTTCTTTAATGACCAGAGTGTGCTAAAGGGTATCATGCCTCCATATGTTTACCTGGCCACTACCGACACTTGGTGGTCGTGTTGCTTACCTGAGGGTGAGCTTTTGCCAGTTCTGGGTGTTTCTCTGATAAATTCACAATCTGCAACACACATAATAAATCTAAGTGACTGCAACATATGACATTACATCAACACACATTACACCTATAACTGACTGCAACATGAGACATTACTTCAACATAGACTATATCTGTAACTTACTGCAACATAAGATAATACATCAACACACATTACACCTATAACTGACTGCAACATGAGACATTAATTCAACATTGACTACATCTGTAACTTGCAGTAACATAAGATAATACATCAACACACATTACACCTATAACTGACTGCAACATGAGACATTACTTCAACATAGACTACATCTGTAACTTACTGCAACATAAGTTAATACATCAACACAGATTACACCAGTAACTTACTGCAACATAACTTAATACATCAACACACATTACACCTATAACTGACTGCAACATGAGACATTACTTCAACATAGACTACATCTGTAACTTACTGCAACATAAGATAATACATCAACACAGATTACACCTATAACTGACTGCAACATGAGACATTACTTCAACATTGACTACATCTGTAACTTACTGCTACATGAGATAATACATAATCACAGATTACACTTGTACCTGACTGCAACATGAGACAATACATCTGCACAGATTACACTTGTACCTGACTGCAACAAGAGACAATACATCTGCACAGATTACACTTGTACCTGACTGCAACACGAGACAATACATCTGCACATATTACACTTGTACCTGACTGCAACATGAGACAATACATCTGCACAGATTACACTTGTACCTGACTGCAACATGAGACAATACATCTGCACAGACTGACTGCAACACGAGACAATACATCTGCACAGATTACACTTGTACCTGACTGCAACACGAGACAATACATCTGCACAGATTACACTTGTACCTGACTGCAACATGAGACAATGCATCTGCACAGACTGACTGCAACACGAGACAATACATCTGCACAGATTACACTTGTACCTGACTGCAACACGAGACAATACATCTTCACAGATTACACTTGTACCTGACTGCAACAGGAGACAATACATCTGCACAGATTACACTTGTACCTGACTGCAACAGGAGACAAAACGTCTGCACAGATTACACTTGTACCTGACTGCAACAGGAGACAAAACGTCTGCACAGATTACACTTGTACCTGACTGCAACAGGAGACAAAACAACTGCACAGATTACACTTGTACCTGACTGCAACACGAGACAAAACATCTGCACAGATTACACTTGTACCTGACTGCAACACGAGACAAAACATCTGCACAGATTACACTTGTACCTGACTGCAACAGGAGACAAAACATCTGCACAGATTACACTTGTACCTGACTGCAACAGGAGACAAAACATCTGCACAGATTACACTTGTACCTGACTGAAACAGGAGACAATACATCTGCACAGATTACACTTGTACCTGACTGCAACAGGAGACAATACATCTGCACAGATTACACTTGTACCTGACTGCAACACGAGACAAAACATCTGCACAGATTACACTTGTACCTGACTGCAACACGAGACAATACATCTGCACATATTACACTTGTACCTGACTGCAACATGAGACAATACATCTGCACAGATTACACTTGTACCTGACTGCAACATGAGACAATACATCTGCACAGACTGACTGCAACACGAGACAATACATCTGCACAGATTACACTTGTACCTGACTGCAACAGGAGACAATACATCTGCACAGATTACACTTGTACCTGACTGCAACAGGAGACAAAACATCTGCACAGATTACACTTGTACCTGACTGCAACACGAGACAAAACATCTGCACAGATTACACTTGTACCTGACTGCAACACGAGACAAAACATCTGCACAGATTACACTTGTACCTGACTGCAACAGGAGACAAAACATCTGCACAGATTACACTTGTACCTGACTGCAACAGGAGACAAAACATCTGCACAGATTACACTTGTACCTGACTGCAACAGGAGACAAAACATCTGCACAGATAACACTTGTACCTGACTGAAACAGGAGACAATACATCTGCACAGATTACACTTGTACCTGACTGCAACAGGAGACAATACATCTGCACAGATTACACTTGTACCTGACTGCAACACGAGACAAAACATCTGCACAGAATACAACTGTAAATTTGTGTTGGTTCTGACATGGATTACATCACTCACCCAAAAACAATCAAGATTGAAGACAACAAATTTACCAAGAAATGGTCGCCATGCTTAGATCGCAGCAGACGCATAGCCTCATTCAGGTTGAATATGTATGAAGTGTCATGGCCATCAGATGGAAAGGTTAAGGCTAGAAAGAATAATTTAGCAAAAAAATAACAATTAATTAACACAGAATGTGCCGGAACCAGAATAAAGTTTAGCATAGCTAGACACAAGTCAAGGAATCATCTCTGGACACAAGTCAAGGAATCATCTCTGGACACAAATCAAAGAATCATCTCTGGACACAAATCAAAGAATCATCTCTGGACACAAGTCAAGGAATCATCTCTGGTCACAAGTCAAGGAATAATCTCTGGACACAAGTCCAGGAATCATCTCTGGACACAAGTCCTAGAATCATCTTTGGACACAAGTCCAGGAATCATCTCTGGACACAAGGAATCATCTCTGGACACAAGTCCAGGAATCATCTCTGGACACAAGTCCAGGAATCATCTCTGGACACAAGTCCAGGAATCATCTCTGGACACAAGTCCAGGAATCATCTCTGGACACAAGTCCAGGAATCATCTCTGGACACAAGTCAAGGAATCATCTCTGGACACAAGTCCAGGAATAATCTCAGGCAGCTGATTATTAAATATATGATGACAGCTACTAATAAGTTTGTATTAGAAGATCATGTATAACATTATATAAATATCAGTGATAGTCACTACACATTCTTTGTGGTTTCAGCAGTTCAAACAAACAAAATGTATGTATTGCCTGTTTTTGCTAAATTTCAGGGTAGTGTATTGAAGGGGGTCTTGAACCTAATGATGTAGAGCTGCAGGTCTAGTGCAGTGACCACACAGTCTGTAGGTCTAGTGCAGTGACCACACAGTCTGTAGGTCTAGTGCAGTGACCACACAGTCTACAGATCTAGTGCAGTGACCACCCAGTCTGTAGGTCTAGTGCAGTGACCACACAGTCTACAGGTCTAGTGCAGTGACCACACAGTCTACAGGTCTAGTGCAGTGACCACACAGTCTACAGGTCTAGTGCAGTGACCACACAGTCTGCAGGTCTAGTGCAGTGACCACACAGTCTGCAGGTCTAGTGCAGTGACCACACAGTCTACAGGTCTAGTGCAGTGACCACACAGTCTGCAGGTCTAGTGCAGTGACCACACAGTCTACAGGTCTAGTGCAGTGACCACACAGTCTGCAGGTCTAGTGCAGTGACCACACAGTCTACAGATCTAGTGCAGTGACCACCCAGTCTGTAGGTCTAGTGCAGTGACCACACAGTCTACAGGTCTAGTGCAGTGACCACACAGTCTACAGGTCTAGTGCAGTGACCACACAGTCTACAGGTCTAGTGCAGTGACCACACAGTCTGCAGGTCTAGTGCAGTGACCACACAGTCTGCAGGTCTAGTGCAGTGACCACACAGTCTACATATCTAGTGCAGTGACCACACAGTCTACAGATCTAGTGCAGTGACCACACAGTCTACAGGTCTAGTGCAGTGACCACACAGTCTGCAGGTCTAGTGCAGTGACCACACAGTCTACAGGTCTAGTGCAGTGACCACACAGTCTGCAGGTTAGATTTTTATTATTGGCCTCAGTAGAAACAAATTCATCACCTTACTAAGGATTCAAACCTGGGTTTTTTGAATGACAGTGCAGCCTTCCTAACCCCTCGGCCAGCTGCTCCTCTTTCATCAGTAAACAGACAATTTAAAAAAACAACTTGTTTCTCTCCCAGCTTAAATCGGATCGGTGAAAACAATCAACAATGGCTAACAGCCTCATTGGATGTGACCGTGCTCAGATGGCAAATCTCATCAACTGTCAGTGGCATCTAACTGACAAATAAATAAAATAGCAAAAATTCAACTGAACCATCTGGAACAAATAGTTCTCCTGCAGCACGTGTCCGCTTGCACACACATGCACACACACGCAGTGGCTAATAATTCTACATACACAGCTTTTCTTTGTCTGCTTTCCCAGGCAGCAAAGATTCTTGAGTGCATTTTGCTTTTATCTTTTCAAGCTTTTATAATTTTTTTATAGTTCAGGATGTTGAGTCCTTCAGATATAAAGGGTCAACATGTGATTTCAGGTAAGATGACTGATTGACTTCATTGTATTAAATGTCACCCCAACTGATTTGGTCTCACTTTGCAATTACCTGTGAACTGAACAATGCAACCTGCAAGCAAATTCAAAGTTGTCATAGTTTCAGGCAACTGGCCAGACCACTTAGGCATAGACTCCTTGACTCAGATCTAGCTGCACACAAGTGCTTCCCTCTTGTAGACCTTTGCTCTTGTGCCTTAACGTGTTCTGCTCCCACTTCTTTCACCTCACTGTCTGGAGACACTCCCTTCACACATATTACCTGAGGGAGCTGAGCGATCTTGAAGTATGGTGTCCGCCTTGAGTGCTGGAAGTTCCGGGTTCAAGTCACGGTGAAGACTGGGATTTTTTTTTTGGTGGACTTCTAGAAATTTGCCCTGGTCTCTGGGTAGTAAGTTCGGACGCCCGTATGTATTCTTGTGCACATATAAAAATCTCTTGGCAGTTGGAAATCGAAAACAATAGCCTAACGGCGCTGCTCAGACAATATTTATAGTTAAAAATCTACCCAAAGTATTTCAGGATCCTTGCCAGTGCAAGGAAGTTCATGCACTGCGCTGACATTTTTCAGGCTCAGGCTTGAGTTAAAACTAGAACAGAGCACTTAGTGATTACACTTGTATGCCATGATGTTGATCTGTCAAATAAACTATAAACTATAACATCATCTGAGGCCCTAACATCATAAAAAATGAACCTGCACACATTAAAACAAATTTCTCAAGTTATGCAGGGATAATTTTGCTTGACAGCTACAGCACCGAAGCCAAAACATCGCTGTTGTTGGTAATTACATCTACAGAACTGAAGAGACACAAAACATCGCTGTTGTTGGTGATTACATTTACAGAACTTAAGAGGCACAAAACATCGCTGTTGTTGGTGATTACATCTATAGAACTGAAGAGACACAAAACATCACTGTTGTTGGTGATTACATCTACAGAACTAAAGGGACACAAAACATCCCTGTTGTCGGTGATTACATCTATAGAGCTGAAGAGACACAAAACATCGCTGTTGTTGGTGATTACATCTACAGAACTGAAGAGACACAAAACATCGCTGTTGCTGGTGATTACATGTACAGAACTGAAGAGACACAAAACATCACTGTTGTTGGTGATTACATCTACAGAACTGAAGAGACACAAAACATCGATTTTGTTAGTGATTACATGTACAGAACTGAAGAGACACAAAACATCGCTTTTGTTGGTGATTACATCTACAGAACTGAAGAGAGACAAAACATCACTGTTGTTGGTGATTACATCTACAGAACTGAAGAGAGACAAAACATCACTGTTGTTGGTGATTACATCTACAGAACTGAAGAGACACAAAACATCGCTTTTGTTGGTGATTACATCTACAGAACTGAAGAGACACAAAACATCCCTGTTGTTGGTGATTACATCTACAGAACTGAAGAGACACAAAACATCGTTGTTGTTGGTGATTACAACTACAGAACTGAAGAGACACAAAACATCGCTGTTGTTGGTGATTACATCTACAGAACTGAATTGACACAAAACATCGGTGTTGTTGGTGATTATATCTACAGAACTGAAGAGACACAAAACTCTTACAGATGATCCGGTTTGTGATGTGAACTACATCCAGGGTGACAGGACTCTCTGTCTGGGGCTGTTCGTGACTCCTGCAAGATGGTCAAACAAGAACAAACTATAAACAAGGTCAAAAAAGAACAAACTATAAACAAGGTCAAACAAGAACAGACTATAAGACAAGGTCAAACAAGAACAAACTATAAACAAGGTCAAACAAGAACAGATCATAAGACAAGGTCAAACAAGAACAAACTATAAACAAGGTCAAACAAGAACAGATTATAAGACAAGGTCAAACAAGAACAGATTATAAGACAAGGTCAAACAAGAACAGATTATAAGACAAGGTCAAACAAGAACAGTCTATAAGACAAGGTCAAACAAGAACAGATTATAAGACAAGGTCAAACAAGAACAGATTATAAGACAAGGTCAAACAAGAACAGTCTATAAGACAAGGTCAAACAAGAACAGATTATAAGACAAGTTCAAACAAGAACAGATTATAAGACAAGGTCAAACAAGAACAGACTATTAGACAAGGTCAAACAAAAACAGTCTATAAGACAAGGTCAAACAAGAACAGATTATAAGACAAGGTCAAACAAGAACAGATTATAAGACAAGGTCAAACAAGAACAGTCTATAAGACAAGGTCAAACAAGAACAGATTATAAGACAAGGTCAAACAAGAACAGATTATAAGACAAGGTCAAACAAGAACAGACTATTAGACAAGGTCAAACAAGAACAGTCTATAAGACAAGGTCAAACAAGAACAGATTATAAGACAAGGTCAAACAAGAACAGATTATAAGACAAGGTCAAACAAGAACAGATTATAAGACAAGGTCAAACAAGAACAGACTATTAGACAAGGTCAAACAAGAACATACTATTAGGCAAGGTCAAACAAGAACAGATTATAAGACAAGGTCAAACAAGAACAGATTATAAGACAAGGTCAAACAAGAACAGATTATAAGACAAGGTCAAACAAGAACAGATTATAAGACAAGGTCAAACAAGAACAGACTATTAGACAAGGTCAAACAAGAACAGACTATTAGACAAGGTCAAACAAGAACAGACTATTAGACAAGGTCAAACAAGAACAGACTATAAGATAAGGTCAAACAAGAACAGACTATTAGACAAGGTCAAACAAGAACAGACTATTAGACAAGGTCAAACAAGAACAGACTATTAGACAAGGTCAAATAAGAACAGACTATTAGACAAGGTCAAACAAGAATAGATAATATAACAAAGTAAAAAATGACCTTTGCTCCCAGGTGAACAAAGCCAAAAACTAGTACTAGGTAAAGTCCTGGAAAGCAAAGGTGACCGGCGTGATGCCGACCAAATCGTTCACTCAGTGCAGATTAATCTGTAAAATACTGGTCTAGCAGGAGGGCATGGAAAAGGGTTCTCAATGGAAACAGCTCTCCGTCTGCCAGGTGGCACTTTCATTGGCAAACAGTCTGGGACAAAGGAACTACAACCTTCTGGAGATGTATGCAGAAATGCCTGGCAATGTCATGCTGGTTGCACAGGTTTGTTAATGTGATATTCTAGGTTCACCTATTAGTGACAGTAACAATTGTTTTTATACTGTTACATCTCTGATTTCTGGAGTTTACATCTCTCTTGTCTGATAAAATAATGTTGAGCAATATCATAAAGTAAAGTCCAGCAAGAACAGTGGCATACTGTCTGTGTTTTCTGTAACCAAACACCATGGGAGAGTAAATTGGCAACTACATCCATCTTAAATATCTAGATTACCTGGTTACTGCTTACTTGATAAAACTGAGTCTATACTAGAGCCAAACTAGCCAGACATACAATCTGACCACTAGTGTTACATACAATCTGGCCACTAGTGTAACATACAATCTGGCCACTAGTGTAACATACAATATGGCCACTAGTGTAACATACAATCTGGCCACTAGTGTGACATACAATCTGGCCACTAGTGTGACATACAATCTGGCCACTAGTGTGACATACAATCTGGCCACTAGTGTGACATACAATCTGGCCACTAGTGTGACATACAATCTGGCCACTAGTGTGACATACAATCTGGCCACTAGTGTAACACATAATCTGGCCACTTGTTTAACATACAATCTGGCCACTTGTTTAACATACAATCTGGCCACTTGTTTAACATACAATCTGGCTACTAGTGTGACATACAATCTGGCCACTAGTGTGACATACAATCTGGCCACTAGTGTGGCATACAGTCTGGCCACTAGTGTGACATAAAATCTGGCTACTAGTGTAACATACAATCTGACCACTAGTGTGGAATACAATCTGGCCACTAGTGTAACATACAATCTGACCACTAGTGTAACATACAATCTGGCCACTAGTGTAACATACAATCTGGCCACTAGTGTGAATTACTGCACAGACCAGCAAACTATACACAAAGGGCAGCAAGTTGTCGAGGGTCATGCCAGATATTCTTTCTGCGACAGGACAGGCCATTGTCTGGGAAACAAGTGCACTGACTATTGTAGCTTTTATTTCTGTAACATACCGCCACCTTACACATGCATGTATGTACACATATGCCACCACCACCCCCCTCCACACACATGCGCACACATGCACATATGAACGCACAAACACACACACACACACACGGCTTTTTATGGAAGTATGCAGTACCAACACTTGGTCTTTACTGTTGACATCAAATTTTTCGTGAGTGCTAAGCTAATGTAACAAATATCTTGGGGTGAGTACCAGCACTTTTGATTTTACTCTGAATAAACCTGTCAGCAAAAAGGATTGTGGTTGCTCACTAAAATAAGTGTTTACCGCACTCATTAGACACCCACAAGAAAGATACCTTCCGAAAAACCTTGAGAACTGCCTCAATTGACACAGAAAATTCTTTCACTTGGGAATGTATGCTTCGACAGCAGTTCACCTGTGTTGCTGCATTTTTTTGTCTGTTGCAACAACATGCGCTTGGCCTCGTCTGAAAGATCTGTCACGAGCTCATCTACCTCCCTAAAGACATGCCTAGTTTGTCAATGTTGATTCCCAAAGACATGCCTAGTCTGTCAATGTTGATTCCAAAAGACATGCCTAGTTTGTCGACATTGATTCCTAAAGAGATGCCTAGTCTGTCAACGTTGATTTTTAAAGACATGCCTAGTCTGTCGACGTTGATTCCTAAAGACATGCCTAGTCTGTCAACATTGATTCCCAAAGACATGCCTAGTCTGTCAATGTTGATTCCCAAAGACATGCCTAGTCTGTCGACGTTTATTCCTAAAGACATGCCTAGTCTGTCAATGTTGATTCCCAAAGACATGCCTAGTCTGTCAATGTTGATTCCCAAAGACATGCCTAGTCTGTCGACGTTGATTCCTAAAGACATGCCTAGTCTGTCAACATTGATTCCCAAAGACATGCCTAGTCTGTCAACGTTGATTCCTAAAGACATGCCTAGTCTGTCAACATTGATTCCCAAAGACATGCCTAGTCTGTCAACGTTGATTCCTAAAGACATGCCTAGTCTGTCAACATTGATTCCCAAAGACATGCCTAGTCTGTAAACATTGATTCCTAAAGACATGCCTAGTCTGTCAATGTTGATTCCTAAAGACATGCCTAGTCTGTCAACGTTGATTCCTAAAGAGATGCCTAGTCTGTCAACGTTGATTCCCAAAGACATGCCTAGTCTGTCAACGTTGATTCCTAAAGACATGCCTAGTCTGTCAATGTTGATTCCTAAAGACACGCCTAGTCTGTCAACGTTGATTCCCAAAGATATGCCTAGTCTGTCAACGTTGATTCCTAAAGACATGCCTAGTCTGTCAATGTTGATTCCTAAAGACATGCCTAGTCTGTCAACGTTGATTCCTAAAGAGATGCCTAGTCTGTCAACGTTGATTCCCAAAGACATGCCTAGTCTGTCAACGTTGATTCCTAAAGACATGCCTAGTCTGTCAATGTTGATTCCTAAAGACACGCCTAGTCTGTCAACGTTGATTCCCAAAGATATGCCTAGTCTGTCAACGTTGATTCCTAAAGACATGCCTAGTCTGTCAATGTTGATTCCTAAAGACATGCCTAGTCTGTCAATGTTGATTCCTAAAGACATGCCTAGTCTGTCAATGTTGATTCCTAAAGACATGCCTAGTCTGTCAATGTTGATTCCTAAAGACATGCCTAGTCTGTCAATGTTGACACACATTATTGTTTTTAGCCACAGACTGCTTGCATTCTATTTTCAATGTCCACTGGTCAATAAAAAAAAACCCAGCTTGTTGGGACAGATTTCGGCTCAACACAGACACTGGTCATGTTCAGAGCACACAATTACGGGTGGTGTGGAACGAAAGGGTTTCAAATTGATTTTCCTAATGTACATGTAGCCTTAAACTGACCCATGTAGACAGGAATGATATTGCTTGAGTGAACAAACAGACTCCTGTGATGTCCAGTCAGGCTGATGTAGTGCTGCCAGCCCCAGGGGTTGTACCTCCCATCCACTCCCTCACAGACTCCACTCCCTCACAGACTCCACTCCCTGACACTCCACTCCCTCACAGACTCCACTCCCTCACAGACTGTACTTGACCGGTCTCTATTATATGATATATTTTATTAACAAACTCACTTGTTGAGTATGTCTCTCATGGTAGATGATGATAGTGAGCTGTGCGTCTGTGATGAGATGACATTCTGTCAATCAAAAAAGGGGAAAATGTAAAGACAGACAGACAGAGACTGACAGACAGAAAAAAACAGACACGCAGGCAGGAACGCACGCACACATACACACAAAACCAACCATACAAAAAACATGCATTTTTACACAAGTTAGTCAATGGAAAAATCAGGACAATACTTTGTTACTGTTGTTGTTAAATGTATGTAGTATTTTTATCACAATCAATGTTTTTGCAAATTGGGTATTGCCATGTGTGCTCAGTCCTCTGATGCAGCAGCCACTCTAAGGTACGTCTACTGATTGTTCCCATGAGAAGCTGGTTGTCTTCGCCTCAAAGAAAGCTAGACGTGCTTCACCAAGTATGACACCCAGATCACGCAGTCAGGTTAACTTCAGAGATTCACCGTTATCCCCCAACCTAGATCATACAGCTCTGATGATATCATGTTTGCTAATGTATATTTGCACTGATGATATCATCTTTGCTAATGTATATTTGCTCTGATGATATCATCTTTGCTAATGTATATTTGCTCTGATGATATCATCTTTGCTAATGTATATTTGCACTGATGAATTACTTGCAAGCTTTTTTTTTACCTCTGTAGAAACCCCAGCTGCATTGCTCAACTATTTACATCTCCTACAAACTCAAGCTGCATTGCTCAACTGTTTACCTCTCCTACAAACCCCAGCTGCATCTCTCAATTATTAACCTCTCCTACAAACCTCAGCTGCATTGCTCAACTGTTTACCTCTCCTACAAACCCCAGCTGCATCTCTCAATTACTAACCTCTCCTACAAACCCCAGCTGCATCTCTCAATTATTAACCTCTTCTAGAAACCCCAGCTGCATCTCTCAACTATTTACCTCTCCTACAAACCCCAGCTGCATCTCTCAATTATTAACCTCTCCTTGAAACCCCAGCTGCATCTCTCAACTATTTACCTCTCCTACAAACCCCAGCTGCATCTCTCAACTATTTACCTCTCCTACAAACCCCAGCTGCATCTCTCAACTATTTACCTCTCCTACAAACCCCAGCTGCATCTCTCAACTATTTACCTCTCCTACAAACCCCAGCTGCATCTCTCAACTATTTACCTCTCCTACAAACCCCAGCTGCATCTCTCAACTATTTACCTCTCCTACAAACCCCAGCTGCATCTCTCAACTATTTCATCAGACAATGGGCCAGATTTCTCTGCTGGGATGTTGATAAAACCAAGTTTGACATAGACAGCCAAGTGTCAGAAATCAAACGCTGTTTGCTGTTTAATCTCTCCATTAATAGTGAATGCCATGTAATTTTTAAACAAATAATTACAATTAAATCTCTTTCAATGAAAACAACAAGGTTGCCTACACGAATCTTAACATAGATAAATAAATTCATATGATGCCAAATGTAAACATAGAGATGAAACTCACCGACTTCTGTGAGGTCTGGTTCTTGTTTACTGTATCACTTCCCTGCAACATCAAAAAAACCACAACTCATTAATTCTGTGGCAAACATCAAGATTCTCATCCAGTGTTAGGACCTAGACCAGCACACTCTTTTGTGACAGGGGTTGGTCATCTAGTGTTAGGACCTGGACCAGCACACTCCCTTGTAATACGGGTTGGTCATCCAGACTGTCAGGTAAATACGTGCACGAGCTCTTGGAACAGGAGCAACTTGGTGTGAGCATGGCATAGGATAAGCTATCTATAACATCGATACCAACTGTGAGCAGTGTCACATTACATCACTGGTGTAGGCAGCGTCACATCACATCACTGGTGTGAGCAGCGCCATACCACTGGTGTAGGCAGCGTCACATCACTGGTGAAGCGTGACTCCTAGGTTTACAGCAAGACGGGCTTCAGCTGGTCTACAGGTACCATCTAGACAGCCAGATGAACACAGATAGTCACACTCCATGGCACACTACAGAATTCCAGGTGAGCTGACCAAAGACTAAGAGGAAAAGCACTGCACAATATACACATATTCCTAGAGTAAATCAGACAGAGGGAGGACAGACAGACAGAAGGAGAGAAAGGGAGAGAGAGAGATAGATAGGTAGATAGATAGATCTTACCAGACTCCTCTCCTCAGATCTGATGATCTCAGGCTCGACAGAGAGAAAATCCCCTCTACGGTCTATGCTGCTAGCTGCTCTGCCGATGACCTCAGAACTATTTCTGTCTGAACGTCTTTCTAGAGTTCTTCCAGAGCGGACTGAAAGTCCTTCTGTGGCTTCAAAACTGTGGTTCAAGCTGGATTTATCCAAGCTACGGTCCCGACCTCGCCTGTCAGGACTGCGGTCCAAGATTCTGCCACTTTGCGAGGTGGTCAAGTGGATGCCATCAGAGCTGTTCTCCAGACCATCTTGCTGCAGCTTGGTCTCGATGACCGTGACCTCCCGTGAAGAAAATCCCTGGGAGGTCTCGAAAGAGCTGCTGTCAAAAAAACGTTCATTCTTTGATGATGACGACTCGAAACAGATGTCAAAGCTTCGGTCCATTTTTTGTGACATTCTGGACACTGGCAGAAGGTGCTGATCGTAGAGCTCAAGTGAATCGGATAAGTCAAAGTCCGGGGTTAGTTTGCTGGACATAGAAAATATGTCCCCGAACTACGTACGATTGATAAATCATTTGTCATCGAACAAGGTTTATTACGAATCCTGCTATAAGAAATCAAGACATCACAGATGAATGAATGAATCAAGAACTGGCATTACTGCACTCAGGACATTCCCACACGTGCTCCGTCTCCTTCTTCAGTAACCAATGAAGAGTTGACATGCGTATGGCTATAGATACAACCTGATTAAAAGGTTGTGTGACATCACACATGAATGAATGAATCAAGAACTGGCATTACTGCACTCAGGATATTACCACATGTGCTCGGTCTCCTTCTTCAGTAACCAATGAAGAGTTGACTTGCGTATGGCTATAGATCCAACCTGATTAAAAGGTTGTGTGACATTACACATGCAGTCTTGTAATTCATCAGTCAGTGATAATGTACAACATCAATATGATTTTACTTTAAGTTCACATAACACGGACGGAAAAATTCAGCAATCATCACCTGAACCGGCGGCCAGTACAGTCAATGAAAAGGGTCGTTTATAAAACAGCAGATTAGAAGTTAGAAGGTGAAATGTCTGTGTACAGTCAGTGTAATTTCTGTGTACACTCAGTGTACAGTCAGTGTAGTGTCTGTGTATAGTCAGTGTAGTGTCTGTGTACAGTCAGTGTAGTGTCTGTGTACAGTCAGTGAGGCTAGTTTCAGGGGATATACCCGTAAACAGTGCACCAAGTCAAGGCGCCATAAGCAGGATTCTCTCAACTCCTGCATCTACACAAAAGCTGTTGTCACAACTCAAAATTCTCATCACTATCCATGGTGGCAACCCTAGAGAGGGGGCAACAGTGAGGGAACGTCAGCGATGGGACGCCATTAAGGGGGTGCCAGTGATGGGGCGCCAGTGAGGAGCGCCAGTGAGGGGGCATCAGTGAGGGGGCGCCAGTGAGGGGGCATCAGTGAGGGGACGTCAGCGATGGGACGCCATTAAGGGGGCACCAGTGAGGGGGCGCCAGTGAGGGGGCACCAGTGAGGGGGCGCCAGTGAGGGGGCACCAGTGAGGGGGCGCCAGTAAGGGGGCGCCAGTGAGGGAGCACCAGTGAGGGGGCGCCAGTGAGGTGGCGCCAGTAAGGGGACATCAGTGAGGAGGCACCAGTGAGGGGACATCAGTGAGGGGGCACCAGTGAGGGGGCATCAGTGAGAGGACGCCAGTGATGGAGCACCAGTGAGGGGGCACCAGTGAGGGGGCGCCAGTGAGGGGACATCAGTGAGGTGGCGCCAGTAAGGGGACATCAGTGAGGGGGCACCACTGAGGGGGCACCAGTGAAAGGACGCCAGTGAGGGGGCATCAGTGAGAGGACACCAGTGATGGGACACTAGTGAGATCAGAAACACTAGCCCTTTCACTGACCTGTTGTCTGATGTTGTCAAGTCTTCCTGTCTACCGCATGCCTCAGTGACACAACTAAGACTGGATGAGCTGATGTCAAACTAAAAGTGGATGAGCTGATGTCAGACTAAGAGTGGATGAGCTGATGTCAAACTAAGAGTGGATGAGCTGATGTCAAACTAAAACTGGATAAGCTGATGTCAAACTAAGAGTGGATGAGCTGATGTCAAACTAAGAGTGGATGAGCTGATGTCAAACTAAAACTGGATGAGCTGATGTCAAACTAAGAGTGGATGAGCTGATGTCAAACTAAAACTGGATGAGCTGATGTCAAACTAAAACTGGATGAGCTGATGTCAAACTAAAACTGGATGAGCTGATGTCAAACTAAAACTGGATGAGCTGATGTCAAACTAAAACTGGATGAGCTGATGTCAAACTAAAACTGGATGAGCTGATGTCAAACTAAAACTGGATGAGCTGATGTCAGACTAAGAGTGGATGAACAGATGACAAAATAAAACTGGATGAGCTGATGTCAAACCAAGAATGGATGAACAGATGACAAACTAAAACTGGATGAGCTGATGTCAAACCAAGAATAGATGAACAGATGACAAACTAAAACTGGATGAGCTGATGTCAAACCAAGAGTGGATGAACAGATGACAAACCAAAACTGGATGAGCTGATGTCAAACCAAGAATGGATGAACAGATGACAAACTAAAACTGGATGAGCTGTTGTCAAACCAAGAATGGATGAACAGATGACAAACTAAAACTGGATGAGCTGATGTCAGACTAAGAGTGGATGAACAGATAAAAAACTAAAACTGGATGAGCTGATGTCAAACCAAGAATGGATGAACAGATGACAAACTAAAACTGGATGAGCTGATGTCAAACCAAGAATGGATGAACAGATGACAAACTAAAACTGGATGAGCTGATGTCAAACCAAGAATGGATGAACAGATGACAAACTAAAACTGGATGAGCTGATGTCAAACCAAGAATGTGATGACTGAATCAAGACAGGGAGAACGCAGAAGCTGGCATTGGTGATGTAAGTCTTTAAAGTTTTCATGAACACAAACATCTGCTAGAAATACGGAAAACAGAAGAGTGTTGCAGTTACCACGACGCCCTCAATGTTTTAAAAGTCGATAAGACATCGACAGTCGATAAGACATCAATGACACATGTCAGGGATAAATTGGTCATTCGATGTTTACAACTTGTCACACCTGGCATGGATGTTGGGACACTGAATCAGTGAAGAAACGGGGGGGGGGGGGGGGGGAGAGGGAAGATAGTAGTGGTGTTAATGATAGAGAAAAATAAGAGCTGCTGACCAACATGATCGCCGACGCCAAGTAGTGAGACACGTTTCCCCACACACACAAAACAAACGCATACATGCGCAAAAAAAAAATGGTCACCTTGCGCGCACTTGAAGACACATACACACAATTAACACATACTTGCTCACGCTTGAAATCAACGCTGACGCACCAAGCACACGCGTGCGCTTGGGGCAGCGGTCAATCCCCCTTATAAACAAAAGGACAGCCAGCCACCACCACCTCTACTCAATGCAGGAGTTTCAAGTATCCGGGTCAAGTGACCACTTCACACTGGTACAGCTACAGCACTGGCCACAAACATAGCAGCGGGAGGACACGAGCAACAACGAAACATGGTGACTGCATTCACGTCCCTACTCTAGTCGCACTGTTAAACATACGGTGTGCCCTAGGGTGACCGTACGTCCTGTCTTTTATGTGTGCCCTAGGGTGACCGTACGTCCTGTCTTATATGTGTGCCGGTTGCCCGGCTCTCTAGCGAAGTTGGTTAAACCTGACTTTCGCGGCGGCCGGGTGACGAACTCCTTGTGGTCCGGGTTCACTCCCGGGGGTAGGCAGAAAAGCCACATTTCTCCCAGATTAACGGTACCTATAATGGAATCAATGCCGAAGGGTTGCGATATCCATAGTACCGAGCCAAAGGGTTTACAACTCATGGTTTCTGGATACGTTTAAAAAAAAAAAAAAAAATATGTGTGCCCTAGGGTGACCGTACGTCCTGTCTTTTTTGTGTGCCCTAGGGTGACCGTACGTCCTGTCTCGTATGTGTGATCTAGGCTGACCGTACGTCTTGTCTTGTATGTATGCCCTAGGGTGACCGTACGGCCTGTCTTATATGTGTGCCCTAGGGTGACCGTACGTCCTGTTTTATATGTGTGCCCTAGGGTGACCGTACGTCCTGTCTTGTATGTGTGCCCTAAGGTGACCGTATGTCCTGTCTCGTATGTGTGATCTAGGCTGACCGTACGTCCTATCTTATATGTGTGCCCTGAGGTGACCGTACGTCCTGTCTTATATGTGTGCCCTAGGGTGACCGTACGTCCTGTCTTGTATGTATGCCCTAGGGTAACCGTACGTCCTGTCTTATATGTGTGCCCTAAGGTGACCGTACGTCCTGTCTTATATGTGTGCCCTAGGGTGACCGTACGTCCTGTCTTGTATGTGTGCCCTAAGGTGACCGTACGTCCTGTCTTATATGTGTGCCCTAGGGTGACCGTACGTCCTGTCTTGTATGTGTGCCCTAGGGTGACCGTATGTCATGTCTTATATGTGAGCCCTAAGGTGACCGTACGTCCTGTCTTGTTTGTGTGCCCTAGGCTGACCGTACGTCCTGTCTTATATGTGTGCCCTAGGGTGACGATAAGTCCTCTCTTGTATGTGTGCCCTAGGGTGACCGTACGGGAAGTCCGGTCTTATATGTATGCCCTAGGGTGACCGTATGTCCTGTCTTATATGTGTGCCCTAGGGTGACCGTACGTCCTGTCTTATATGTGTGCCCTAGGGTGACCGTACGTCCTGTCTTGTATGTGTGCCCTAGGGTGAATGTACGTCCTGTCTTGTATGTGTGCCCTATGGTGACCGTACGTCCCGTCTTGTATGTGTGCCTTAGGGTGACCGTACGTCCTGTCTTGTATGATTGCCCCTGGGTGACTGTACGTCCTGTCTTGTATGTGTGCCCTAGGGTGACCGTACGTCCTGTCTTATATGTGTGCCCTAGGGTGACCGTACGTCCTGTCTTTTTTGTGTGCCCTAGGATGACCGTACGTCCTGTCTTATATGTGTGCCCTAGGGTGACGGCACTTGTTCTATATTGCTACACACAGGATATATGGCACGGTGACTGGAGATTGGACACGGTGACGGGGCTTGGACACGGTGACTGGAGATTGGACACGGTGACTGGAGATTGGACACGGTGACTGGAGATTGGACACGGTGACTGGAGATTGGACACGGTGACTGGAGATTGGACACGGTGGCTGGAGATTGGACACGGTGGCTGGAGATTGGACACGGTGACTGGAGATTGGACACAGTGACTGGAGATTGGACACGGTGGCTGGAGATTGGACACGGTGACTGGAGCCTGGACACGTGCTATACACAACATCACACTTCAGTCAGCTGGGTCACATACAATACTTGCATGCGCGCGCGCGCACACACACACACACACTATGCGCGCGCCTATATATATATATATATATATATATATATATTATACGAGCACACACACACACACATACACGCATAAACATACACG